TTATCAGTAGAACTAAACAGCAAGCTAATTCTATTTTCTGGCTGCAGTAATACTGTTGAATTTACAAAAAGCAAATTTCGCTTAAATCACTTTTTTCTGCACTATCAGATTTAAATCGAATGTGTGTGAATCTGATTATATCAGGGACAGGTATTCTATGTATTTCAAATTTATATTGTTTTAAGACTTCCATTGATTGTTTTGTCTTACATATTATGTGATATATGCTCTCAAACACAGCACGTAAACATATGCATCCAACAGCATTGAATTGTAGGTGGAAGTTAATTCATTTATTTAATTTTCTGAGAAATATTTTTTGCATGTCAGAATGTTTACTTGATGTGGAATTACTGGTTAAACTAATTTGGCGATTTTTTATGTAACTTAGCAATCATGTGCTGCAATCTTAATTTAACTTAATTTATCATGTAAAATGAAGTTTCGAGAACTCCATGAAAATGAAGTCTGTAATACTTTACATTTCATGTAAAATGAGGCTTCGAAGAATATGATTAATAAAGTTCATTTAAACTCTTAATTTCATTGTCATTCACATCAATCATAAGCCCAATAGATTCTATAAAGAAGAGTGCATTTAATCTCTAAGATGGAGAAGGTCCTCTGGTGCCCGACTGATGAAGCCCTGCTGAATACTGTTTGCTCGGCATGGGTACGAATTCCGAGGAATAGGCTGGCTGCAGGGGTTTCTTCTGGTTTTCCCCATGAGTAATATAAATAAGAGCCAGTTTTTCTTAGAAAGTCTACCATAAAGATATCCCTTCCTTAAGCAGGTAGCCCTCGTGTTCTTTTCACCGTATTCAAGTACACATAAACAATGACACGAGTGCAAACCGGGCGAAAAAGCTTGCTGCTTAGAGTTTTCGTGGTTTATTTCTTTATGTGACGTTAATATGAGCCACTAATGAATTATCCATGAAGACATCTTAAGACAGATAATTTTCGCATGAGTTGCCATAGCCAATTAACCAACAATCAATGATACAGAGAGTAAATTTTTATTTCAGTAAAGCTGAATAACGGTAGTTGGTACATTAACTTACAAAAACTTATAACATATTACTGAATAAGATGCCATCTTTTCACTAATAGCAATAATCTCATCATCATTTCCACAGTTTATAGTAAAACAATGGCTAAAATTTCTAATTACTTCTGAAATATGTATCAAATCATATTTAGTACTATATATTTCTGCTAAAGCATTCATTTGGTGGTTGTGCTGAGTTATATGTATAACAAATCAGCTTTAAAATAACACAACAATTTCGGATTTCTATTAAACTTTTATTTAAATTCGTATTGTTCGATAATTCTTAAGATATAATGCATTTAATAAAAAATATTAAAAAAATTATTTAAAGTTTCACGATGTTTAAGATTTTTTTTAGTTTTTAATTTGATTGTTTTTAATTTTTAAAATTTTTTTTATTTTTATTTTTGCATTTAATCACATAAATGATTATGAAACGCAAATTGGAAACTTCGTTACTGAAATTAAAATAAACTGAAAACTAGAGTTTAATAAATTACGCAAAAGAAAACAAGTAAGCTTCCAGCATAATTTGTGGAAATCTAATAAATTATTGCCGTTAGTTAATTATTCGGCTTTTAAAATTTTCCGTGGTGAATTCTAATTTAAACAGTTTCGCTTCTTTGTTAAGCGTACGAATAAATTGAAAATGCGGATATGTAAGAACGCAAATAATGAAAAATGTTAAATGCGATTTGTGAAATTATTAAATAATTTTGGAAAGCTAATCCTTTCTTAGGAACTTTCTAAATTTATTTCCATTTTTAGAACAAATACTGAGTGCATTTGAATATAAATTTAGTTTCGATTTCGTTCGAAGCCATGTTCATTGCACTGAGAAATTTGCGCATTTCTGGAATGTTCCCTTGCTTATGATGTGTATTTATCCTTTTCTATTATTTGGAGTACAACAATAATTTTGAAGGTTTGTATTTTAGTGTTCCTGACCATTATTATTATTCCTTTTTGATTTTTACTAGTACGACTTCTTTTCGATGCAACTACTTTTTTCGACGATACTGGCGTTAGCTCACTGAGGATTTAGAAGCTTCGACAAGTTTTAATAGATGGTGGTCTGTATCCATAATATGTAAATTATTAAAATCTCACTACTAGTTTTGTAATTAGGGGCAAACATAATCTCTTATGCAACGTTTTCCTGTATTATTTGGATTACATTTGTGGAAACTAAGTTAAATTTCATGGTGATGTAATTCACATCTATTACAGATATCCCCTTTTTAGTAACTTATATATTAACTCTTGAAGAAAAAACATAAAATTTATTTATACACTACAAAATGAATGAAATACATACAATCTTCGGAAGATATTATCTCATTCCTGCCTAAAATCAATTAAATACTCACTTTGCGAAGGAGCAGTTAAAGCAACAGTTCGATAAAACGGCTTTCGAATTCTCTATGGCTCCCTTTCATTTAAAGCTGAATCGTAATTTGATTTCGTAAATATCGAATAACTCTGTAGAGTATTTTCTTTACCTTTTGCATCACCCGCTGAACTTTTATTTCATCACCACAGCTGAGTCATTACTAATGACTGCAGATATTGTATTGAGCAGTGTATTATATTGCAGGAGGTAACAAACTGAGGGATGTACGCTGATATAATTGCACTCACAGTCTCAAAATTCTACTGCAATGTTCGAAGTTTGTCTTCTTGAAAACAGCAATAGAATGAATGTCACGAGGCTGAGAATAGTTGGATCAGTGTTTCTCAAATATTTTATTTTATTACCTCTGTTTAAAGCTGCAATTGGAGAGTGCATACCAATCTAATCAACAGTGTTTTTTCAAAACCATTTACCAGCGTTTGGTTTCAAAACTTCTAAGTATACGAACAGGACACTTATTAGAATATACACATGGAAATCGAAATTCCATCGGCAAAACATTTGAAATCACGAATAATGAAATATGACGTAAAGAAGGTCTTGACAGCAAGCCTTCTTTTGGTGCACTAAAATTACACGAAAATTATTAATGTATGAAACATTAATAACAAACTAAATTGAAAAACGTTCATTTGTTATAGTTATTGTACTATAAATTGTCTCCAATTTGGCCTATTAGTTGCTCTTCAGCAAAGCATCCTCTTAAAAGTACATCTGTCAGCTTACGCAGGCTTCCCATTTCATGAATTCGATAAGCCTTGAAGTTTACGTTCCCATTACGTACAAAGAGAATTTTTCGTTTCCGGCATAATGCTGAAAAGACACCCATACAGCATAATTGCTTCCAAAATTAGTTATAGCTCTTGATGTGTTTAACATACTAACTGCAGTTAAAGATCCCTTTAATCTAAATAAACCCAGTTTCTTTATAGGTGCAGGGGGAATTTTGCGGCTATGAAGCCAAGCTTAAATTTGCTTTCAATAGTTTAATACCTGATACTTACACCTGCTTGGTATGCTGCTTCATTTGAATTGCAAAAATATGGTTTTACACTTTACTCCAGTTGGTAGAAACATTACAAAACAAGTAACATAGTTGAATACACAAAGATTTCTGAGTGATAGCTTCTGAAACATCAATATTTTTCTTAAACCCTCGGGATAGATCGTATGATTTCATTTTTCTTATAAAAAATTTGTAAAATTCTGTATTGTGTACTTTTAAGTTACAGTTGAATTTGAAGAATCTTAAGAACTGGTAAGCGAATAATCGCTTGAGTTCGTGAGACAGTAAATAAGACTTGAAAAGCCTTTATTACTCCAAATTAAAGTTTAACAGAACTCCGTCTTGGAGTTTTACAATAAAGCCGCCACTCGGGCTTGAACTCAGAAACTAAGAAATTAACTTGACTAATCTTAACTAAAAAGATATAGCTGAAATAGCTGAAGCTATCGAGATTCTAACCGAGTTGGCCCCTTAGAGCTGAATAACGGTGAAGCTGTAAAGGGCCTAAAGTACGGCCGAGCGTAATAATAGCTTAAAAGGGAGTAGCCTAAAAAGGCGGACGCATGCTAGCCAGGGTCACTGGTTCTCTCTAACTAAGATAGTAGAACTTCGCGGTTAAATACTTCTCCTCAATTTGCATTCAAACGCGATTCTATAAATACGTTCTGGCCGGAAGTTGTAAGTTGAAATTCAGGAAGAGAGGAAAGGAACTTTAACTCAAAACTCAACTGTTAAAGAAATTAACATAATCCTTACAAATTACTTAATCCAGTATTCAAACAAGCAGAAAAACCATTAAGGAATTTACTTAAGACTACCAATATACCTTTTTTTTTAGTTTTCCAAATTTTGAAGAGTGTATAAAATTAAACTCGATTTAGTTTACTGCAAGAACTAGTCTAATCTTCTTTAAGTGCCACACAAATTTTTTTTCTTCCACTACCAGAACCCTATTGTAACAATTGTAATGCAATAAGTAATTGCAACAATGTAAAACAAACATTTATTTGAAGTTACAAAACATAAGATAATTATAATATTAAATTTTGCGTCCTGTAATCTAAACATTGAAATTATTTATTACTCAAGATTTAAGTTTAAAAGATTAACAACCCGACTTCGCTATTCCAGGGCTATCAACTTAATTTTATTCAAAGACACTCAGCAATTTTTAACGGCGCTAAACGAAGGCAGAGCAGAGGAGTTTCACCATTCCAGACTGAAATTGACAGCTCTTTCATAAATTTAGATCCTCCCTTCTATTTAAAACTCGCTTCATTTACATAGTCTGGTAGAGCAGAAGAAACAGTAAAACCACGGAAAAGATTCAAAATGAAATAATAAACATATTAATAAAAAGGACTGGAAATGGAATTTCGGACTTCCAGATTGCGAGTATTTTCCAAATACACCACGAATGCAAGGGTCAAGAAAAAAGAAAGTTCCTTGCATACTGAATGTTAAACAAAATCTTTGCCTTTTCCTGTCGTATTAATATTCTGAGAAATTTTCCTCTTCTTTTTCAGGTTTTAATATGGAATGAATGGTATGTCTGTAATAAGGCGATCTGATGATAGTTCTGACACCATAATTTCAGAATTCAACTGATCTTCAAAAACGAGATTTGTATTTTTTCAACAGTGATATGTCATTACTAAGTTATATTATTAAACATAATACTCATTTTTTACAATTGGGAATATTTTCTGACAAATTTATCATTTTCTTGAAGCTTAGTTTGACCTCAAATCTTTCGTGCTTTTATTTTTCTTTCCTGTTCAAACTTTTAAAAATGACTGACTATATCGAGTTTTAAATTAACATTTAAATTAGCATTATGAATACGTAAGTGTTTTACTTTGGCAAGGCATTTTAATTGAGAATTTATATGTTCTTCGCAAGAATATGTATTCCCTGTATTCCACATTTATTTGTATTCCTCTCAGTTTACTGTAGAATTGCTCGAACTAATTGAGTTTATGACCCAATTATGATTTTTTTTATTCCCTAAAATTGTTCCAGTTGCTTAAAATATTTTTATATTTTCTTTTACATTTTGCCTGCAAATATTATTTTTGTTATTATTTGTTTTAGAATATCTGTATTTTTTCTATCTACGAAATACAAACTAAACATATCGACAAAACTGAGCTAACTTTTTGATTTCTTATTATTGCATCAGTCACATTTGGATCTAGTAATAGTCGATTTTTTCTATGTTTAGTTTCACTTTCAGGCCAGATTTTTTTAAAATTTAAAACAAATTGTTTCATGATAAGTTAGTTCATCTTTAATTAAGTTCATCTTTCTTAATCTTTGCATTGTATAGTAACATGGGAGTGACGAAAGTATTTGAAATATCATCTTACACGTTTCTGTTTATTTCATTTATTAAGCAAGAGATATTAAATTGCATTTAAAAACCATATGAGTACTCTTACACAACATACTATTGCGATTTACACTGATACAAAACGCTGCAGAATGAAAGATTTTAGCTTGAGGTTTCTCAAATAGAACTATAATAAATGTTATTAATGTCTTCTTCAATCTCGTGAAATTACTATTTTGCTATCATCTTAAAGATCAGAAGCATGGCTCTATCCTGATTTCAATTCGTATTTTATGAAACCAGTAAATTCTAGTTCAAATTCTCTTTGCTGATCGGATTTTAAGCAATTATCATCTGGTATAGAGCTCATAAAACTGAGTGCAGTAATTGCTCGTAAGTTTCTGATCCTGTGCCTGAACTTATCAAAATTTTATACTTATTTCCCTTTTATCAAACAGATGTCTAGGTTCCTTAATGTCAGCCGAATTTAAGCTGCTCAAGTTGTAGCAACCTACGAGTAGTTTTGTGATTACGTTGTAAAGAATTTTCTCTTTCCTCTCACCGCGTGTCTTCGTGATGTAATTGGAAGCATGTCATGCTAGCATTGGGAGATCCGGAGTGCGAATCGCATAACCGATTTCTCACATTTCCCAATTCCAAAAAAAAAATTCAATCAGACTTTACAAATGACGCCCAAGCTAAAATGTGGTGGACGATAGCTCGTCCCCACCAAGATTTTGGCGATCAGGTTCTCTCCTCCCCATTCACCCTTTAATTGAGGAAGAATGTTCGTGTTACAACTGCTTTATGTTATGTTTCTGCAATTCGAGACGACAATGGACCTTACTGTGAATTTTTTGTTATTGGAGGTGATACTTTCTGAAACATATCCTTAAATTATTTCATTTTTTCTCCTGGGGTACATGATCAACAGCAGAATCACTTGAATATACAGCTGTGAGTGTCTTTAGCTCTGTTTTATAGTATTTACTTCAATTTCAATAGGGCTGTCAGAACACTGCTAAATATCGCATACGGCAAACTTGTAATCGGAAGTCTACGAATATAGAACTTGAAAAAAGGTATAAAATAATATTCTAAATGCAAGACTGAAAGTATGTTAAGCCATGAATTAGATTTGTCCAATTCAGTGGGCTGCTTGCGGTCCAGGCTGAGTAACTTTCATAAAAATTTTTAAAAACTCACATAATGTTTTAAATAGAGTAATAAAAGTACCATAGTAAGCTGTAGATAAACAATTTACTTTCAAAGGGTATAATAACATATTTTGTTATTTACATTAGACAACCTCTAAGGACTATTGATCTTTTGTTAAAATATTTAACTGCTGTTTCATATAAATACCATAATCTTTTCCCCAACTACAGCGATGACATAATCTCTCATAAAAATGATATCGTCAAGCAAGTTTACATGCGAGCAACTTAAATTACCTATTTTATGGCGCAAATGCCTTATACAAGTCATGTTGCGAAAGTACTCCAGCCTAGGCAATGGTCCCCTCAGGTAATACTCCCCAAATGGGTATCTTTGGTAAATTTGGATTGTAAGTTAACTTGTTGAGCTATTTCAGTAATATTTCTGTACTGTCTCCACATGTTTAATTAAAGATATTTCTGTTAACTTTGATAGTATGTAAATGTCTATACTATTTATTAAATTATTTGACTGTTTTCGTTTTTAACTTCTTCTCGTGATGTCGAAGTTTTCTCTACAGCTCATCGCAAAAATGTATGTTTAACATTTTTTTACTAAATTTAATTTCTTAATGTATTACTTGATATTCTTTTCATAAATTGGAATTACTTATATTCATTGCTTAAGATTCATTACTTAAATGGGAACCATGGGTCTGTGACCGTTCAAACGTTGTACAGTGTTTTTCAAAAACCTTGTCTAAATGTTAACATAATTTCAGACTTTTTGTGTGATAAATATTACGAAAATATTTAACATACAATTGCATGCGAAAACACTATTTTAAGAAAACGCATTTCAGATTTACAAAGAGCAAATGTTGTTATAATTTGTTTCGGAGACAACACGTTTAACCTTCAGATCTACCATCGATATGATATGGTTTTTCGATAGCAATATTCTTTTCGGCATCATTAACGCATCACCTAATGATGGGCTGCAATAATTACATTCCCAAAGAAGAACCATTTACGTGTTTGTTTGGGATCAGAACCATTTTGTTTCGATTTTACGAACGCATTTCGTTCATGTTTTTCCCCTTTATGCTACAAAGAGAATTACAAACATGACTTAATTAAAACTGCAGAATTCGGTAACTGTATATAACTATGGAATCATTTTTGTACTATTCAGTCAATTCTTTATTCGTGTTTCCAGAAGAGGATATTGTATAATATGAAAATCCTTTCTAAGTCACCTCTATACACAAAAAAGTCAAAATCACTATAAATCTGGAAATACGGGTTGCATGATAATTTCTGTCTGTAGTTAAAACTAATACATAGTTAAATCGATGTAACCATTTATATACGCAAGTCTATAGTTCAGTTCTATCTCCACTCCAATGCTCTCAAATAACGCTGTATCAGAAAATAAATTTGTTCGTCTAAAATGATGTACAAATTCTGTTTAATCAAGCATTTTACTGTAGCAAATTGCTGAGTTCGGATACAATGACCGGCAGGCAACGGAAATTAAACTTTTAATATTTCTGACAGAACTGCCAAGTATTTTTAATGTGTTCTTTAAAAGCTTATTTGTTTTAATTATTATTAATTAAATCTTCTTCCCCCTTTTGTATAGAAGACCTTTAATATTTTATTCAATAACAAATTTAATACTCGCAATGATTTTTAATGATATTATTGTTTTAATATTATATTGCTTCTACATAAAATAATTAACCCATTTTTAAGTTCAGGTTTTGGAAGCTTAGGAAATTTCAAGCCTCTTCGTTACACCCACTTTCTTTTCCTTTTAAAGTAAAACAAAATTCTGAAATTCTCTCACGGCAGTAATAAAATAGTTCTGCCTTTGAATTTACATTCAGAAATAAAATAAATTTAAGATAAATACTTCAAATTACTCATAAGAACTCAGTTATTGTATATGCAAATACTGTACTGTATAATATAATCTCTTCAAGACGAAATATGTACTTGTAATGGTTTAAAAATTGCACAATATTAATATCACTAAAGAAAGTATTTTAAGTATTTTTTTCATACGAATAGACATATGTATATGCAAAGAAAATGAATTAAAATATGCATATGAAGTAGGAAAAATAAATAAGAAACATTTAATTGAAGAATTCCTACGCTTAAACTGTGAAAGACTGAATTAAAATCAATAAGCAATTAGCATAAAAAGTAATATTTTAAAATTGCTTTTTATACTAATTGCTTATATATATATAATATATACTTATAATAATATATATATGAAATAAAAACAGGTTTCTATGTTTCCAAAACTTTTTTTCTTTAATTTTTGTTAAACATAAGTTGCTTATTTTGGGGTACATCGCTCATCAAATTATTCACGATACTCTTTGTTTCGAAAAGAAAAGTGCTTATGCCTCCTTAATTCATTTTAAAGATTAGTACATGAAATAAAGGAAGATAAGGTCATTTTTAGCAACTTTTGCCATGCAACTGTGCGGGGATTAGTTTAATGAATTTTTAATGTCTGGTACTTTCAGTGAAATTAATGATGTGTTCTCATCAGAACAGACAGGCTGAATATTAACTTCTATCTTGGATATTCTTCACAGAGACATTAGAAGATAAATACTTCAGATTAATTCTAAAGACAACATTTTTTCATGTTTATTATGGTTATGCAAATGCATACGCATTTTATTGTAAATTTAATCATTATATATTTCGTGGTATTCTTAAATTTTACCTAATTTCGCAGAAAGCATTTAATCATTAATTTAATAGGCTTTCACAGAAAATAAAATGTTTTCCCAAAATAAAGTAAAACTAAATTTGGAAATGAAAGACCTCTGTGCACAAGAATTCTACAGCAGCCGAACAGATAATACTATAAACAATTGCTAAGTTCATCTACGTTTGATTCCGAGGCTAAAACTGGTTGGCATCAAGGATTTTTTATGCTGTTTTTTTAAAGTATAATATACTAAATAAGCGGCAATATCTTTCAGAAGGTCTCTTGAAGGCGGCCGGAATCATTACGAGGTTTACAGTTAATAAATTATTTTTATCTACTACGAATGAAAATTTGCATTATACAGTTTGTATTTCTAAAATTTCATTTACGAATCTTTTTATTTGTCATCTAAATTTTTATATGTATCTGAGTAACATATGTTAATGACCACCAG